GGTATGAATGAGTCAAGGTTATACCTATTTTTTTTTTGGTCAAATCAGCAAAATATATTTTCGATGTGCCACAAAATTTTCGTAATTGGTTTATGTGCGCCATGAGATGAAAAAGGTTAGAAATCGTTCTACCAAACATTCATGGAATGGAAAATTTTAGTCTTATGTACATTCTTTGGGAAAATAAAAAAAGAAAGGTTCTTTTCTAGCTTCTCTTGTGAGGGTAGGATAACCTGATACAGCCACCATGCAAGAACAGTGCAGGAGAGGAAACAGACTAATTTCCTCTTGGGTGGGGAACCTTTTTCTGCCAAGGACCATTTGGATATTTATAACACTACTTGCAGGCCGTACAAAATTATCAACTTAAAAATTAGCCTGCAATATTTGGTCAGACATTTAATCAACTCACCCCTAATGTGATGGCTGAAACTGCGGTTGCCTTGGCAGGGCCAGGCCACATAATTTCAGCCTGTGGGCTGGATGTTCCCCATCCCTGTATGGACACCTCTGCTCTTCAGGTGGTTGAGCTGCCTGGAACTCCTTGGTTGTCTTGACCTGATGTTCTGATTGAATGGAGAGAAAAGAAGCCTGTTTGGAGTGGGAGCAAGAAAGACCAGGCTGCTTGGATCAAAGGCACTGGCACATGTACATAAACTGGAACGATTCACAAATGATGACTTTGACCATTGCATAGTAATACTCTACACATTTGTGAGGCATTTCATCATTTACTGCTGAGCAGAATGCAACTTAAAGGTACCAGCTCTTGTCCATTAGATGGCCACTGCCAGGCCCTGGTTGTAATGTGGAGCTATGCACTGGGACAGTGTGGGGAGCTGGAAATACTTTAGAAAACAACTTGTTAATAACTTTCAAAGATCGTCATTTGCATTCCACATGACCCAGCAACTGCACACGTGCTCTGAGGGAAATGACTTAAAGCAGCGATGATCCAGCTTCAGGCCATCAGGCCGGGCTATTTCTAGGCACTAGGCGATCAGCTGGTCTAGGGGAATCGAGCTGATGCACAGCGTATGCGTGCACTCTCTCATAAGACTGCGGCTGATCTGTAGGTTACGGTGCTCTTTACCATCTTCACTTTTCATAGGTGCCCTTGGATTTTATAGCAGTCAGTCCAGATCTTACTTTGCTTCCTTTCTCCTGGAGGGGGAAAAAACTCAATTATTAAAAATGGATATTTTAAAATACAAAGTTTGAGAATTTCAACTGGGATCCTACCTTCTGATAGTTTTCAATTCCTTGCTTTCTGCATAGCTTAAAGACAACTTTGTATCTGTTATGGAGTTTTCAGTGCTTCTTGATTACTGTGTGATTTTTTAAGAGTTGGCTGTAAAGGTGTTGAAAGAATTGGGTGATAGTGCTGAAGCAAAACTCCCTTGTTTATGTGAAGAAGTTTTCTCAGTGGGAATAAAATTGGTAATAGACCTTGCCTCATTCTAGCAATAAGTTATTTGTATGCATAGATATATGAAATAATGGAATGAGGGGGATGGTCCCATCTGTCTCATTCAGATACATTGAGTAAAAGTTTACTTTTAATGTCTAATAGTTATCAGATTTGCAACATATTTGTGCTTCAATCATTTGTGTTCTAAAAGTACTTGTAATTTGTTACATTTACAGGGCATTTAATAAAAATTAATTTACATATTTTGTTGCAAAGGAATATGACAGTGATCAGTAAAAGATTTTTAAGTATAAGCACTGATTACATCAGAGAAAAATATAGGAAAGTGGAGTAGAAATATCAGTTGATAGAGAAAAGAAATGATTCTCATTGTAAAGCAAGGATTTGTTTGTATCTTTCAGACCTGGGGGATTTTGAGAATCAAGTCATGGTGGTATGTAGATTCCACTGGACACATTTACAGTGATACATGTAGTTGTATTTTAAAATACCAGTGTTTACAGTGCACTGTAATCCTACAACTATTTCAACTTAAATGATGAAAATTTTGATGTCAGTATAAACATGCTCAAGGAGCACATCGTTTTTCAGAATTCTTTTTAGCAGTAACGGGAACAAAAAAGGTTGAAGACCATTGACTTTGAAAGCATTAGATCTCAAGGGGGGTGGTAACACTCATTGGGGAGCATATTGGAACTTTGGGGGACATTTTTGGTGGTTGGAGTGATTGAGGGGCTTTACTCTCATTTGGTTCATTAGGGGTGAGGAAGCTGGACATCCTGCAAGCATACAACAAAGAATGTTATTGCTGTTTCCCGTAATTCAGCCCCACTGAACTAGTCCACTGCAAATGTAAATAAGGAGAAATTTAATATGTAATAATCCTAAAGCATACTTAAAATAGGAGTTTATAAAAAAATGATCCCTGGAATTTTACAAGAGGGCCATTTCTATGAAATAAGTGAATTCAGTTATTTTCATGATTTGCAAATTTTTTTGGCTATTCTGCATGTATTTATGGCATCTGCTAATAATGACAGCTTAATTTTTTCCCTTCTGATCCTTGTAATTGTTAAATATTTCTCATTACGCTCACTAGTACTCTCTTTAGAAGAGAGAAAGAACCCATCTCTATGATCTCTGAGGAGAAGCCTTCTGCGACTGACCGTTAAAGATGATGTTAGGGTAGCTGTTCTTTAGCAGGTGAAGAACCATCTCCATTTCTAGTCTGCTATGAATTTTTAATTAAAAATGGGTGTTGATTAGATATGACACAAAAAGCACAAGTGATAAGGGAAAAAAGATAAATCAGAATTCATTAAAATCAAAACCATCAAACCATCAGAAAAGTGAAAGGATAAGCTGCAGGTGGGGGAAGAATATTTGTAAGTCATATTCCTGAGAATTTTATCCAAGATATAACTCTTACAGCCCAATAAGAAGAAAAATTATCCAGTGAAAACAAATGAGCAAAAGTTTTGAATAGACGTTTCAGGAAAGCTGTATGAATGGCTAATAAACACCTGAAAAGGTGTTTCACCTCATTAGTCATTAGGGAAATATAAATTTAAAACCATAATAGGTACCATTTCCCACCTACTTAAATGGCTTTAATAAAATAGGCAGACTAGTGTTGGTGACTACACAGGACAAAAGAGACCCTTAGGCAGTGCTGATAGGAATTGATTTCAGAGAGAGGAAGGGAGAGGGAGAGAGAGAGAAACATCCATGATGAGAGAGTCATTGATCGGCTGCCTCCTGCACACCCCCGACTGGAGATCGAGCCCGCAACCCAGGCATGTGCCCCGACCAGGAATCGAACCCCGATTGCCTGGATCCTGGGTCGACGCTCAACCGCTGAGCCACACCCGGCCAGGCTCCATTTTTAAGTTTTTGAGGAATTTCCATACTGTTTTCCACAGTGGTTGCCCCACTCTACATTCCCACCTGCAGTGTACCAGGGCTCCCCTTTCCCCACACCCTCGCCAGCACTTGTGTGTTGATTTGTTGATGGAGCCATTCTGACAGGTGTGAGGTGATATGTCACTGTGGTTTTAATTCTCAATGTTAAATAGCAGTGAGTTGAATCATTATTTCTTTTAACAAATACATCCTACTAGTTAGAATTTTTTTAATAACATTTTTCTTTAATGCTAAATTTTAATTCTTCATGGAAAAATGGATTATGAAGTCATATATCAGGTATTCAAAAATGTTTAACATATTGAGTACCCACCACCTGACTTAATAAGCAATTCCATATTACAAAGGTTGAAATCCTTCCTCTGTGCAGATTGCCAATCACAGCCCCACCGTTTGAGTTGGTGTTTATAATTTCCATGCATGTTTTACATTGCTAAATAGCAACTTGTGTAAAATGGCTATTATCCTGTGTATCTTTTCCGTATATAAGTGTGTAATAATATGCCCTTCAACATTTTTAGATTTACCTATATATGTATACTCTAATTCATTTATACTAGAATTCTTCATTCCTTTATATATTATTTTTCAGTTTTATTAATAATCCTTTTGATCGATATTTAGGTTATTTCCAAATTTTTGCTACTTGTTGTTGTTCATATTTCCTTGGGCATATGTTTGAGAGATTTTCTTGGGTGTGTGAATATATATATAAAATTGTGTTTGTGTGTGTGTGTGTGTGTGTGTGTGAGAGCTGCAGTTCTCACTTCCGCACGAACTATGTGGGCTTGGACTGTCCCAACGTCAGCTGCTTGGTACTTGATATTATATCTAGTTGTGATTAATTTATAATGGACTAATAAGAGAAAGCTGAGTGTATGCCTTTTGTGCTCTAATTTTATGTTTTCTATTTGTCTATTTATTTACATGAGGACCTACCCTTCTCAGATAGTTTAATTTTATTAAAAAGAATGTCTTTGTTGAGCCACAGAGTAAATGGTTCCTTAAAGAATTCTTTATGTTTTTCTCTGTTCCAAAGTGATAAACTCATAATAATGAAATTGTCAGTGTGTTCTTACTTAAAGCCAGTGATTCTCAGATGTGATCTGTAGACACCAAGGCAGGCATCCATGAAATGGTTTTCTCTGTGGAAAGGCATGATTTGCTCTTTTCACTAGGTTGACATTTGCACTGATGGGGCAGAAGCAATGGTGGGTGAAACCGCCAACATCTTTACAAGAACCAAGGAAGTGTCCTCAGTCCGTAGTTATTTAGGTTAACGTGAATGGGTTTATTTGTATTAGTAAATGAATAAGTGTTTAAAAAAATTGTAGTTTTAGTTTCTAGTAGAGTAACTATCGGTACATAAAACCTAAATGTGGTCTTTTCCTCTAAGAGGTTAAAGGGGTCAGGTCCTGAGACCACAGAGTTTGAGAACCCACCCTAGGCACAGGTAGGTATATGAACAGACAGATATGTTATTCTTCCTGATGCTTGTCTTTGAGAAGAAAAACTTAGCTAATATAGTTCCTTTAACTGATAAGTTCAGTTGATTTAATGTTACATATGAATTTAAAATTTTCAGCTTATTTCATCAAAATTTTGTTTATAACTAGATTATATTTGTAAATAAAATACTTTGCAGGTGCTGACCTTAAGGAAAGAGCCAAAATGAATCCTAGTGAAGTTGGTCCTTTTGTCTCCAAAATAAGAGCAGTGATTAATGAAATTGGTAAGTACAGTTAAGTTGTTCTTAGCATGTGGAAGTTGACCTCAAAGGTCAGATGTAAAAAGCTGTACACTGTCTTTATATATAAAATTTGGCCAAAATACTTCTATAAAATTAGGTAATCGTGGCCTATAACTGGGTGTTGTAAAGTAGCATGTAATATATTTGATTTGAAAATTTGTGAAGATAATTATTACAAAACAGAGAGTAATTTATAACTCTTAAATAATTTCATACACAAATGTGTTTATAGATTTGAATTTTTTTGTTTTTTTTTTACATACATAGGATTATACTGTTTCCTTAGAATTACAGACATTTATGTAATATTTATATCTCAGTACACATCATTCTATTTTATTACTAATACTTTTTAATATTCTGCTGTATTGAATAGTGATCCATAGCATAGCCTCTCCATATTTTAAAGTTTTTTTTTTAAAAATTATTTCTTCATTAATGAACACTTGGGTGTTTTTGTTGTTGTTATTTATAAACAAGCAGTGAAAATCTTTGTATCGAGTCTTTTAGAACATTAGTATATGTACTTATAGAATTAGTCTTGAGTATAATGTGTTCATTGTACACTTTAATAATCCTACCAGATTATATTTTAAAAAGATTGCAATAATTTACATTCCCATCAATTATATGACAGTACCTGTTTCCTCATATTTCTGTCAGCATTTAATGTTGCTATTTATAAAAATTTTCAAGGTTAAAAAACAGACATCTTAGCACTTTCATTTGCATTTCCCCACATGTTGTGTCATGTTTTATCTTCAACTGCCTCTTCACATCCTTCATCTCTTTTTTATAGCATCATATAATAATTATTTATGTATATGGCCTTGGTCTTGGATCTTTTTCTCCTCAAATTTACTCCTACTATTTTATAGCATTTATACCTTTGAGTTGGATCTCCCCCTTCCCATTTCTGTTGAAGTCTGGTTATTGTAGGTCTGTAGGAAAGTCACTAAATTTTATGTGCTTATCTTATATCATGCCAACCTTCTAATTACTGGCACTAGTTATTGTTATTTCTCAATTAATTTTCTTGTGTTTTCCAGATAAAAGTTTATTATTTATAAATGCAATTTTTTGTCTTCTTTCCCCAACATTTTCATCTTAGATATTTTTCATATGTTTTTACATTGTCTGAGGCCCTTGGTACAATATTCAGTTGTTGAAGGGAGCATGTTTATCCTTAACCTCTTTTGACTTTGATGAATGCTTTTAATATTTTGCTAATAGTTTATCAAGTTCAGGGAATTTCCTTCTATTTCCGCTGCACTGGCTTTACTTTAACTAGAATAAACCCACCTGGTCATTGTGGTTAGTGGTTATAGTGGTCTTTACTGTATTCCTCTGGATTCAGTTTTATATATGTTGGTACAGTCATAAATGAGATTGATTTTCGGATTTGGTTTTGTGCTGACCTCTCCTGGCTTGCTGTCAGATTATGTATACAGCCTTCATGGAATGAGCTGAAGCCTTTCTGTCTTTTTCTGCGCTATCCTGGGAACCATCTATTACTTCAAGGATTAGTAGAATTTGACCATGTGACATCTTTTGGAGTCCTGTATGGTTTTGTTATTACTTTTTAAAAATATTTAATTTTGTTTTTGCTATCACCACTATCCCCTATAGGCCCTCTTCCACCTCCACCAATTCCATAGCCCCCACGCCCCACAATCACAGCACTAAGTTCTAAAATATTTGTGTCTTGATTTCTAGAATGGTGGTTGTTATCCTTCTGCCTCTTTTTATCCTGTGCTAGTGTCAGCAGAGGCTTTTCTCTGCTTTTCTCTCCACTTCAACCTCGTGTTCAGAGCCTCCTTGAGGGTCTTGGTCTCCATCGGTCAGAGCTTGGTCTTGGAAGTAAAAGTGGAAACTGCGACTTTACGTATGTGCTAGGAGGAGTGGCATGACTGGTCCAGTTGTAAACATCATCTTGATGTTTCTTCTAAGCCTCTTTCTGGTTTTGTTGATCTGAAATTGGAATTTTTCTGGGACTTTTTAAATGAAGCACTGTTTCTGGTTTTGCAGTGACATTTTCTTTCTGTGATTGTAGCTATAGTATTTTTTTGTTTATCCTGATTCAGTCTGCCTTTTCCTCTTCCATGAATTCCCCAATATTTTTTAATGATACCTTTCATTGCAACATTACAGTCGGCATGAAATGTTTAAGTTGCCTTTTGTAGTGGCTTAATGAGATTTGGAGGGTCAGGTAGAAACTAAGTGTCTCCATCTAATCTACTCATTTAATATATGAAACCAGGGGCAGGCAAACTTTCTTAAAGGGATGGGTAGTAAGTATATTTGGCTTTGCAGGGCCATTATGATCTCTGTCACAGCTGCTCAACCTTTTTTTCTTTTTCTAGAGCAGTTTTAGTTCACATCAAAATGGAAAGGAGGGTACAAANAAAGGCTTTCTTTTTCTAGAGCAGTTTTAGTTCACATCAAAATGGAAAGGAGGGTACAAAGATTCTGCATATACCCCCTCCACATATGCACAGCTTCCCCCATTATCAACACCCCCCTCCAGAGTGATGCATTTGTTACTACTGATGAACCTACATTGACACATTATAATTACCCAAAGTCCAGAATTTACTCTTGGTTTTGGACATTCTATGAGTTTGAATAAATACAAAATGACATATATCAATCATTATAGTGTCTTATTTTTATTGGTTTAAAAATCCTCAGTGCATGGCCTTGTTATCCCCTCTCCCTTCTCCTCTCTCTGACAACCACTTTTTAATTTTTTTTTTTTAATGTCTTTATTGATTTCAGAGAGAGGAAAGGAGAGGGAGAGAGAGACAGAAACATCAATGATGAGAGAGTCATTGATCCAGCCCACAACCTGGGCATGTGCCCTGACCGGGAATCGAACCCGATCGCCTGGATCCTAGGTCGACCCCCAATCGCTGAGCCACGCCCGGCCGGGCAGGCAACCACTTTTACTGTCTTCATAATTTTTTATTTATAGAATGTCATATGGTTGGAATCATATAGTTCGTAGCCTTTTCAAATTAGTTTCTTTCATATAATAACATGCATGAACGTTTTCTCCATGCTCTTTCATGACTTGCTACCTTACTTTTAGCGCTGAATAGTATTTCATTGTTTGGATGTACGTTTATCCATTCACCTACCAAAGGATGTCTTGGTTGCTTCCATGTACTGGCAGTTATGAGTAAAACTGTGTGTAGGCTTTTGTATGGACATAAATTTTCAGTTCCTTTGTGTAAACACCAAGGAACAAAATTGCTGGATCATGATGTTGCTGGTGGAAATGGGGCCCTTGTGGTGGTGTGAGACGTTTTTGGGAGCCACATGGGAGGATGCGGGCTGGTGGTAAGATTTATTTGGGTGGGAATAGGCTGCCCCCAGGTTCACAATTTCTCATCTCTGTCCCTCGGGCTGTGAGAAAAGTCCAGCCTTGTCCTCATCAGGCCCAGTACAAAGGCCGGTGTCCAAAAGCTCTGTGCCACAGGGCAGCTTAGCCCAGCTCAGCCCATGCCCGCCCCATGTGGCCAGCGTCGTCTGCTCCCGCTGTGCCCCGGCCGTTGCTGTGGCCTGGCGGGCACTTGGAGCCTGCACGTCGGCTGGGCCCCAGGCAGCTGCCAGGCCCACGTGGCCCTTATGGAGAGAGAACGCGCCCTAGGAACGGCG